TATATATATATATCAGTATCGACTAAAATTATTTGTTTTTGTCAGTTCATATTTAATGTATTTGTCAGCAACTTAACAAATTATTTTATTATAGTGCGTATTTTTTTGAGTATTAAAATATGAGATTAATAGAAATATTTGATTGTCCCGTAATGTATCAAATTATTCAGTCTGACGCCATGGCTGATTTTTAAATAAGTAATATCGTCTCACTTTCATTAATTAATTTGCGTTTCATTGCCAATCAGCGATTAATTTGCTTGCTTCGTAGTAGTATTGATATTATATTATCGATAATGTAATTTTCGTGTGTGAACTTTGCTCCGGGGTTTATTTTTTTCTATGTGGGACATTTTACATCTATATATTTTTAAACGTTTTTATCTCATGAACTATCACATACCAGGTAAACTTCAGAACTCACGAATTCTTTTTCCGTTAAAAATGTTGTGCTTTTAACCTATATTTCAGAATTATGTCCGCGTTATTTTTTTAATAACGATTTAATTTTTTCAAATAACATAGCTTTATACGCGATAAACTACCAAAATTCAATTGTTATGAAAAGATCAGTTTTGCTATTCAGCTCATCTTAGCGCACACTCTCTCTTTCTCCTTTTTTTCTTCTTTTTGCAAAACGACACGTAGTCTTCCGTCACATTTATCGAAGCGTCGTCGCTCGGAGATTCGAAGAAGGAGGCAACAAAGAGGCATCGCGACGATACGCGTCGTTTGAGACACGAGATATATCCGTGAACGATGACGCAGACAGCGTCTTCCCGACGACGCTTGACGTGCACGATTTTCACGAACTTATATAGAAGCGGAGTAAGGGGGCTATACGCTTGCACTCGGCAAAAGCAACCCCAGTGACCGACGCGAAACACGTCGATTCCATCGAAGCTAACTCTGGGGTTGACGTATCGACAGAGAAACATATGACGAAGTAATATTTTTCCGCGCCCCCTCGGGTGATGGCATTTTCCCGCCACTCGCTCACCATCTCTCCCCTTAACAGTTTTCCCATCGACAGATAGCAACACCGAAAATTGTACTTTTGATGTTAAATATCGCAGAAACTGGTCGTCCCTAGGATTCACTGTAATACATTTTCGTACAGAATAACGAGACAAATTGATTTTTCATTTAACAATATTTTTTCTTCTCCATGTATTAATGGTAGCATTATGTTATGTTGAAACGTATATTTTATCGGAGTAAAAAGTTCGCTCGACTAAAAAAAAATATAGAGGGAGCCTGAAATTGTAACAGGATCCGACGATTAATCGACATCTAAATATATTTCAGCCAGTTTGCATATTAATTATAAGGAAATTTCATTTAAAATATATATGCAATCCTAAATTTGAGGAAAAAATAAAATTGGAATAAAGCTCATT